TGGATGGTCAGCTAGGGGTCAGAACCACTGTGAGAAGGGGGAGGGGAGGGGTTTTGATTGGAGGAGGAGATGCCTTATCCAAGGATGTTTTATTGGGGGTGTCATACATGTAATGGCTTCTTCCTGCTTATAGAGGCAAAGTGTGTCCCTTTGATAGAACTTTCTAACCCCACTTGGTAATGTAGACCAAAAGGCTTTCGGTTTGAATTCATTAGTGGCTCTGTGGAGAAAGATGGGCTGTCCCACCTCTGTAATATTTATAGCCGCAGAAACCTGACAGAGAGCTGCTCAGTGGAAATGACTTGAAAGTAGTGAGTTTGATTTGGTATAGTTACATTCCAGAGATAGCAGGCCTCCAGTGCACCATGATCCTCAGAGAGGGTGATGTGAAAGGTAGTTTCCTCTTATTTGACAAGGGAAATAGAATATTGTTTTTTCCCACTAAGAGAAGTATAAAAAGCTATTAATGGACATTGACAGGAACTGTAACCAAGTGTGACCAAAACCACTTGTGCTTTTAAAACTCACTGGTGGTTTTCACTGCTTAATTCATTGCCGTCAGTCAAGTTGGAACTAATTCATAGATGGTCTCCAGGCAGGTTTTAGAGTCTGTCAGTCACACTGGAGAAGCTTACTCATCTGACTCCCAGAGCTGCTGGTGGATCAGACCTCCAGAGAGCCATGACCTTTGGGTTCGCAGCGCAGCTCCCTACGGACTAAGTCAGCAGAGCTCCTAGCTGTGGAGTTGACTGGAACTCATGGCCCTGTGAACACCAGATTTGCACCTTATTCCAGCCTGTGTTACCCTCACAATCTCCACCACACCCAAGGCCATTGTTATAGTCACTGTGTCAATCCATCTCCTTCAGAATCTTCTTTTCTTTTGCTGACCCCCTACCCTTCCTTCCTTGATATTTTGCCCCAAGAATTGGCTCTTCCTGGTAAGATGCCTGAAGTGTGTGTGATAAAATTGTAGCATCTTTGTCTCTAAGAAGCCCAGTGGCTGCACTTTCTCCAAGATGTATTTGTTGTTGGGTATATTCAACACTCTTCACCAACACCTCAGTTCAAAGACAGTGATTCTTTGATCTTCCTTCTTCATTGTTGATCTTTGAAATGCATAGGAAGCAATTGAAAATACTATGGCTCAGATCAGGTGCACTGTAGTCTGTAAGTTGATATCCTTGTTCTTTGTCACTTTGAAGAGATCCTTGATAGCAGATTTTCCCAGTTCAACCCATCTTTTGATTTCTTGACTGGTGTTACTATGGGTGTTGTTTATGGATCCAAGTAAGATGAAATCCTTGACCACTTCATCTGTTTTCCTTCTGTCATGATTTTGCTTCTTGGTCCATTGGTGAGGATTTTTGTTTTCTTGATGTTGACATGTAATCCATATTGAAAGCTATAGTCTTTGATACTCTACAGCAAATCTTTTACTTGAAGCAAGCAAGCCTGTATTATCTGTGTAATAGTGTACTTATATGCACTCAAAATATATGCTCAGCATATAGATTGAATAGGTCTGGAGAAAAGATACAGCCCTGATGCACACCTTTCCTGATACTTAAAACATTGTCTACCGTTATGACAATTCCTTCTTAGTCTATGAATAGGTTTCACAGCACAGTTTAAATGTTCTGGAAGTCTTATTCTTCTCAGTGTTTGTTATGAACCACAAAGTCAAATGCCTTTGGATAGTCGGTAAAACACAACATCCTTCTTGTGTTCTCTGCTTTCAGCCAAGATCTACCAGACATTAGCAATGATATTGCTAGTTACACGGTCACTTCTGAAGCCAACTTAATTTTCTGGCAGTTCTTGTTGATGTAGTTGTTCTAGCCATTTTAAGTCATTATCAGTCTGGTTTTACTTGCATGTGATAATCCAGTAATTTCAGCACTCTATTGTCTTTTTTTTTTAATTGAATCATAAGGATTTCTGTTCCTATGCATACAGATGTCCAAAGTATGTCAGACGAAGCTTCAGAATCCTTGCCTCCAAGGAGCAGCCAGATTTCACCCTCTCCATGATTAACCTGGCTTTAGGGCTACGGGTATCATTGTCGATGTCAGATGTTTCATGGCTGAAAGGAGAGAGTACCAGAAAGATATTTATTTGTGCTTTATTGACTTTGCAAAGGCATTCGTTTGGATCAAAACAAATTGTGGCTGACATTAAGAAACCTGTACCTAGACCAAGAAGTTGTTGTGCCAACAGAGCAAGAGAACACTGCAAAATCAAGAAAGGAGTGTCTTAGGGATGTATCCTGTCTTGTAACTTTTCTATTGATATGCTGAACAGATCATTAGAGAGGGTGCACTTTATGAAGAAGAATGTGGCCTCAGGATTGGAGGAGGACTCATCACTGCAGATGGTACGGCCCCGCTTGCTGAAATTGAGGAGGACTTGATGTGCTTGCTTCAGAAAATCAAGGATGTAATATGGGTTGCATCCAACATTGGGCTAAAAAGAATCCTCACCACCTGGCCAAATGGAAATACCGTAATAGATGGAGAAAAGTTTGAAAGTTGCTACCGGTTTTATCTTGCTCAGATCCACAAACAACACCCTTGGCACCAGCTGTCAGGAAATTGAAAGAGGAGTTGGATTGGGAAATTGTTTAGGGTCTTTCCAGATTGCTAAAGAACAATGATGTTAGTATAGGGACTAAATTTTGCCAGATACAAGCCATGGTCTTCTCATTTGCTTACTATGCATCTAAGAGTTGGACAGTTACTAAGGACACTAAGTGACTAAGTGACAGAAGAATCAATGCTTTGAGTTGTGATGATGAGAACAGTATTGAACATACCATAGACCACCAAGAGAACAAACAGGTCTGTCCTGCAGGAAGTGCTCCTTAGAGGCAAAAATTTTGAAGCTCCATCTCACATACTTTGGGCATATTGTCAGGAGGGGCTAGTCCTTGGAGAAGGACATCATGCTTGGAAGGGTGGCAGGTCAGTGCAAGAGAGGAAGATACTGGATAAGATGAATTGACACAGTGACTGGAGCAATGGGGTCAGGTGTGTCAGAAATGGTGAGGTTTGCTCAGAATAGAGCAAGGTTCACAGCCATTGTTCTGAACCTTGTCCTGTCCTGTCATAGGTCTCTAGAGTTGTAGTCAAGTCAGTGGTACATAACTAGTACAACAATGCCCTTGATGCCACCTCTAGTCTTCAGTCATTGGTGTTCAGTATGTCAAATCTCTGCTTGAGATGGTTTCTAAATTCTGTTAAGATACCTCCGTGAGTTAAATGTACGCTGGTCAGATGCTTGCATGTGTATCCTACCACATGATTCAGACTGGGGCCTCTACCCAGCACCAGGGACCTTGGCATTTTGCAGCGTTGACCCTGTTCCTCAGTGACTAGTGCTCACTGGAATGTAAAGAGTTGTGGTGAAGATACTGCGATGCCATTTCATTTCTTTGGTAATTGAACCTAATTATTTTTGTGGTAAGACATTTCTCCCATTGATTTCCAACAATGCTGTAACTGACTCCAGGCTCAGATCTAGTTACACATTTTTTGTCTTAATCCCCATGTACATGGCCTAGAGGCCGATAGTCTCAGCTATGCTAAGTGAGAAAATGATCCGTGAGCTGTTTTTGTTTCACTTTATTTTCTGGGTTTGTTGTTGTTGAGAATATACACAGATCATATAGTCAACCAGATCCTACAATATAGTTCGGGTGACTTTGAATACATTTATTGAAATGCATGCAACCATTTTTTGCCTTTCTGAGTTGCCCCCTTAGGGAGAGGACTGCTCCTTAAACCAAACTGCTTCCTATCTACACTGCTTCTGGGGTCGATTTGATCTCCTGTAGATAGTTCTTGAAAGAGCATAGTGCTCCAGGCAGACATGCTGTATCAGTTAAGGTTAGCTATTGTTTGGTTTTAAGAAGACTTCAGGAGAGATTTTGTGTTCCTGATCTAAAGATTCTCATTACAGTTGTTTTTTGGTGTTCATCCAGCATCCATAGCCCCAGAAGCAGGTGTTTGTAATAAATAACTCTGACCATCTTCTTTAAGATTTATTGGATGGGAATAGCTGAAGAACTTGTTTGAACTTTATTCTATTAGGGGTCTAATTATGACTGGGAATGCTAATGGGCTCCAGAAGGACTTGTGCTACTAGTCCAGAGGTGGGACTTCTTGAGCAGTTGGAATCCACCTTGGGAGAAAGATGGGCAGTCACCTCTCATGTGATTTGCAGCCTTCAAAAGGCCACTGAAGGGTCAGTTGTGAGTCAACTCCAACCCAGCAACAATGTCAAGAGATTCCCCCCCCCCTTTTTAACAGTTACATTCTAAAAAAATAGATTTAGCATGCATAATCTTGGATACAAAGGCTTATCCTGCATATAAGGAGTTTAATAATGGATAAATGCAAAAATTAAACTCATTGTCTTTGAGTCAGAACCAATTCATAACCAACCCTCCAGTGGGTTTTCAGAGGCTGTAAATCACATGGGAGGAGATTGCACATCTTTTGACTGTAGAGAAGCTGCTAGGTGGATTTGAACCACCTGATTTTGGGTTGACAGTGCAACTCCTTGCCCACTAGCCAGGGTGTAGGATCCATAGAGTTTAAAGTTGTGGATAGTGCTATATTATAATGTCTGTAAATGACAGCCCATAATGTAATATGTGACCATAGTTACTTTGTGCATGATATGAAAGATTTTAATCATGTTTTCTTCTTAAGCCTAGAAGTTTGGTGGGGTTCCCACCCCCATGTGCAATTCAGAATTTTGTATGACCATCTTAACCAAACATTTTTGATTAGCTATTGAAGCTGTAATAGTTAGTTAGACTTGCCAGTGAAATCTATCATGTGTACTTGATTGCATGTCACAGCTGTGGTTGTAATGAATAATAAAAGCAGAGCCAAGTGGTATTGAGTCAGCAGTTTTTTAATACTTCAGAGAAAATTTCTTCTTTTTTTTTTTTTAGAAAATTTCTTCTAACGTTTCCTGAACTTGCATTTCAGATTGCATCCAAGTATGATCATCAGGCAGAAGAAGACCTTCGCAACTGGATAGAAGAGGTGACAGGCATGAGCATCGGCACCAACTTCCAGCTGGGCTTAAAAGATGGCATCATCCTCTGCGAGTAAGTTAAGATTTGACTCCTCTCCTCTCCATAGGCCTCTGCCCTCCCTGCCTCCAAGGCTAAGGTGAAACTCATCTGTTAATGTTTTTAATGTGTTTCTTTACTGATGTTAAAGGGACCAAATTTGCAATCTAGTCTCTGGTTCTTTCTGACAAATTATGTGTCATTTCTATTTTTCTTTTTAGACTTATAAACAAACTACAGCCTGGCTCAGTAAAGAAGGTTAATGAGTCTTCATTAAACTGGCCTCAGGTAACAGTCCAACTACCTACTTCCTATTCTAGCTGGTTGCTCTTTATGCGGTGAAACTTACTCTTTCTCATTGTCTTTGGGTTGGAACTGACTCACAGCTGACCGACCCGTTCAGGAGCTTTCCATAATAGAAAGAGACTGCCGATCTTTCTCCTTCAGAGTAACTGGTGGATTCGAACCATCTACCTTTGGGCTGCCAGTGCAACTCCTTACCCACTGGGCCATGGAAGCTCCCTTGGTGAGAGCTAACTATATTGTGATGTCAGCTCTAACACATTTTATCAAGTATGACCTTAACTTATCAATATCAATGTGACTAAATAATAAAATCTGATATATAATTTCTAGTATGTATTTTGTGGTATAAGGGAATGAGCAGTTATTCACAGTAGCAAAGATGGAAGAAATACAAGTGTCTCAACGAATGAATAGAAACTATGGCACAATCACACAATGGAGTTTTACTGGAGTATTACACAACATTGAAAAACAATGAACTTATAAAACATTATACAACATGGGGGGCCTGGAGGACATGTTTAGTGAAATATCTCAGTAACAAAAGGACAAATTTTTTTAACACTGCTGTTATAAAATAGGATAGACGTGGGGGAGTTGGGGAGAGAATGGAAAAAGAATGGGTAGATAATGAATACTGCAGTAGAACAGATAAGGGGAATAACTGAAAGGAATATGAGTAGACATTATATGTATGACAACACTCTGGAACAAGGGGTGCTTTGCAGGTTGGGTTGGAGGAGGGGGAGAAAAAATGTGTAATAATAGATTAAAAAATAATAAAATTTAAAAAAAAACAGAAAAAGAGAATGAGTATTTAACCTCAAATTTCTTTTAGAATTAAAACAACATAATTATTAATAAGAATGTTTACATACTTTCAAGCAAAAAGGAATCTAAGCTGGATGACTCTGGCAACTTACTTGAAAACATTTAAGTAAGATCTTTGTCTTTTAAGAGTTGACAAAACTTGTCTGCTTAAAAATATCCACAAGACTATTGGGAGATACTTTTTTAAAAAACTCTCCTTCTCCAGAGTGAGCTGGGTTTGGTTTGATGTGATCACAAATTCTTGCCAAGCTCTCTGCCTGGCATTGTGTAATTAACTAGACATGGAGATACAGGATTCTTAAAGATTATAGATGTCCATATGTACCTACAAAAGTCATATGACTGTTTTCCCTTATAGTTGGAGAATATTGGCAACTTTATTAAAGCTATTCAGGCTTATGGCATGAAGCCACATGACATATTTGAAGCGAATGATCTCTTTGAGAACGGAAACATGACCCAGGTTCAGACTACACTGGTGGCTCTCGCTGGTCTGGTATGTATGTCTTTAATGACTGATTTTAAAGGAATCCTGACCATTTTAGTGATGAGTTATGTTCTTGTTTTCCCACAAGGGATCAGACCTTTGAGGAGGGGCTTGTTCCATAATTATTCACTCTGTGGAAAAGTCGCTGATGTCAGCTCCCTTAGCCTAAATAATCAGAACACTCCCATTTCAGAATTTCCTGTAGTGCCAATAGCCTTAACCTTTTAATAACCAAAATATTTACTACTCTGAAATTTGTCTCATGTGTTTTCGGTAAGGGAGGATACTGAAATCGAGGTAAAACAAAAAAAAAATTTTTTTTGTGGTAATAATGGATTTTTATGTAATTATAAAAGACACATATGTCCTGTGGTAACTGTGGTAGAATCATGAGGTGAAAACCATTCAGACGTGTGTGATTGTATAAGGGCCCTCATAGGAGGTAGCATAGAATCTTTTTAAAAAAATCAGGGAGGTGGGAAATCTTGGTGAAAGATACATATGCTGTGCGGCACCACAAAGCCTAAAAATGTCCTTAATTTCACTCTTGGATCTAACCTAGCGAAGCTTTCATTTATGGGACAGTATCATTTCTTTGTTGTTTTGAAAATCACTTGTCAGACTCTCCTTTTCAGTGTTCTGTTAACCTAGTGTGCATGTTTCTGTATAGGCTAAAACAAAAGGATTTCATACAACCATTGATATTGGAGTTAAGTATGCAGAAAAACAAACAAGACGTTTTGATGAAGGAAAATTAAAAGCTGGCCAGAGTGTAATTGGCCTGCAGGTAAGCGTGTGAGGTTGCTTTTTCAGTTACTTAATTAAATGCTATTGATTTCTCACCATGACACAGTGAACTAACAATGGGTTTGGGCATATCAGAAATCATGAGAGTGGCACAGGATAGTCCTAAGAACAACAATATACAAGTCATTAACTCCTAAGTAAAAGATAGATATAAGTATTATAATGTAGATTTGGAATTAGAGACTTTGTTCATGAAATGTCTTAAAAAGTCCATTAGATAAAATCCCTATTGTGTTGTCAGTTTTCTTTGTATTTTTTTATCCTCCCAGGTAATTTTTTTTTTTTAAATGTACTTCATAGACTGGTAAATGTTACTTGCCAGATGATGCCATTTTACCAGCCTCAGTGCCGGAGTCATTCACTTGTTCTTGTGCAGCCTGATACAGGATCCTAACCCTGTTACATTTTACAATTTAATTTGTGGGGAGTAGTTTGTGTTGCTCCCATGTAGAGTATTGCAAAATGCCAAATTTATGGTCAAAGTACCAATTTGATAATCCCCCCCCTTTTTTTTCTTTCTAGTTTGGGGGGAAAAGCTTACAGAATTTATACACATTTTTGTTTTGTAACGATTGGTTGGAATTCCCCTCAAGTACATTACTGCTCTCTTCCTCTTCCCTTGTGTTCCTTCTGTCCATTTGTCCATCTTTATGCCCCTTCCTGCCTTCCGAGCCGTGTTTTTGCACAAGTGCCAGACGGCCCTATTGTTCTTGTATGACTGATGTTTTGAGACATTCTTCTCTGGTGTTATTGTTCATCTTTAGGTCTTCCTGCTGGTCATTCAGGGTGCTCTGCTGGCCTGATAGATAGGGAATCGCACACCAACCCAAAGACATACAGATATCGAATCCACCACCTGCTATGCAGGAGAAGGATGGGCAGTCTCCTGCCTTGTTCTTTACAGCCCCTGAAAACCCTCTAGAGGGTCCGCTTTGAGGCTATTCTGACTTGACAACGTTATGGTTTGAGATTTGACTCTTCAATCTGTTGCACACACCTGCCTATAAGATAAAGGAGGTGGAATGTTACATGTGTGTAAATTGATATGTCAGATTGCTGGGATTGTAATGACTTCTCCTTACCCTCCTCTTTTTATGTGTATATGTTTCCTGAACCTTTCCTAACGAATAAGTTTTACTTTTAGTAATCAAGTTTTAGGGTTTTGTTTTGTTTTGTTTTGTTTTTAGTAAATCTTGGTTATAAGGGAGAAAAACCAGCAGCACAAATGTGTCCCTAAGCCATAGAACAAGGTGTGCTGGTTGAGCTTGCGGCCATACTGTTCTCGGTGGGAATGTGAAGTTAATCATTGTCCGTCTGACCCCGAGGGTTTTACTCTGGCCGGGTTCAGATTCCACTTGCTGCCTGTTTGCAGCCCTGCTCAGTGTCACGAGCATGCAAGGAATAAAATGCAGGGATTCCCGTCCCCTCCCCCCCCATGAAAATGTTGGTAATTGTGATGAAACTTGAAGCAGCCTTATTTAAGCTCCCAGAACAGACACCTGGTACTTGCTTTCACATTTTTTGCAAAACACAAACCTGTCCTCTGTAGAGTGATTCAAGCTCCTCAAGGGCAGAGTAGAACCACCCTAATAGTTTCAACGCTTTATCTTTTTAAAATTCCATTTTCATCTGTATGGAACCAGAGTGCCGCCACATCTTCCTCAAAGGTCAAACCACTGATCTTTCGGTTTAAAACACTACTACCTGAGCTCCTTAAGCAAAACAGATGAGTAGAAAAGCATCTGTTGCTCGGTTCAAGACTGTATGTGTCTTTTAAAAATGGTTAAGGCCTGTGCTCCTTCATTTGGTTATCTGTATGACCGAGGGAAGAGTAACAGGGAAAAAGAAATGTAATTGTGCCTCCGTGGTAAGTTTTTAGGCCCATTCTTCTTGTTATGAAAAAATATAAAACAGCTTTTGTCTTCAGTTGACCTAGAGTCTTTCCACATTAGGAGGAGGTATTGTTGGTTGTACCAAGAGGTGAGGTAGAAGTGGGGTCTCTTTAGTGAAGCAAATGCAATGACATGTGTCTGGGCTAGTGATCTCTGGTAATTGGTGCTGATTTATTTTTTCCCCCTTGAAAGATGGGAACCAACAAATGTGCCAGCCAAGCAGGGATGACAGCCTATGGGACCAGGCGGCATCTTTATGATCCCAAGATGCAAACTGACAAACCTTTTGACCAGACCACGATTAGTCTGCAGATGGGCACTAACAAAGGGGCCAGCCAGGTAAGTGCCTCTCCCAGAGAGTGCAGAGGGGCTCTTTACTCGGATGAAGTACAAAGTTGGTAGTTTCTGATATAACTATTCAGAGTCTGTTCTTTCAGGAAAACAAATTTTACCGAGGCAGAAAAAGAAAAAAAGAATTTTTCTGTTGCAGTTGAAGTAGGAACGTGGGCTTTTGTGGCAATTAGAGTAACTGGCCTTTCTGCCAACACAGAAGAGAAAGTATATATTTTACAGGACTTTTGCTTCAATTGCCATTTTAAAAATTGCTCATTTAAATGCTTAGTGATCTATGGTGGTTTGTCTGACCCGACCCAACCGACACACACACAGCCCCCCACACCCCTGTCCCTCAGGAGAATTCCTTCATTAAGTTGGCAGGTAAAAGTATCATGTTCTACTAAGAACTGTTTATCTGAAATACTTATTAAATGTGTGGCTACAAATAAAAAATGCACTGTAGTGAAAATGCTATATCGTATAACCGTTGCCAAGCTTTTGTTTGTTTCATTTTGTTCAAAATAGATCACCAGAAAAATGAGTTTGTTAATATATCATTTGAAAGTAGACTGGTCTCGTATCCAGTGGACGTTAATGGAAAGCTCGAAAAATCTTTTTTTTTTGTTGCTTTACACAAGGCACTGCAGCTCTCTAGCTCTCTCATTGCTGCCACTGATGTTTGCCCATTTAAGAACTTGGAATCTTGGAAGTGTTTGTTTGACACCTAAATGGCGAAGCCAAGGATGAGCTACTTTACTATGAAGAGAATAATGGCTATCCTGAAGTGGCTGGCCTTGTGTCTTTTGAGAATCAAGATCTTAGGATTGTACGATAGAAGGGGGGTGGGGGGGGGAATGGTTAACTGTATTATAAGCTTTTGGAATTGACCACCTGGAAAGTGTATTTGGTAATAAGAGGCAATCAAAGACAACTTTTAGATGTGGAGTATAGTACTTTATGTATATTCTTTGTGTTTCATCCTCTCATAAATGCAAAGTAAATACTAGTGTCTCAGTTTCACACATCAGAAACAATCTAAAATGTTAACTTGCATGAGACCACACAGTGACTTTATAGCTGAACAGGAATTTGAACAGGCTGATATAATCTAGCTCCAAAACCAATGAGTATTACTTCATAAGCATGATTTCAGTAAGAGTGACTTGAGGTCAGCCGGAACTAAATGATAAAGCGGTTGTACCTGTGTTAGTGTTCAATGTGATTTTTCGTAAGAGTCACAAGAACAGATGCTTAGCTTCAATGTAATGTTTATGCTATGTTCTACTACTAGGCGGGGATGTTGGCACCAGGGACCAGAAGAGACATCTATGATCAGAAGCTAACATTACAACCAGTGGACAACTCAACAATTTCTCTACAGATG